AGAATTGTGACTCGCTTTTTTTTTTTTTTTGCAGGAGTCCAATTTCTTTTCCGCGCAACATGTGATAGAGTTTAAAGCCCGGTTTTCGATCCCTTGCTATTTTTCTCTTGCCTCCTCCACCCCCCCCCCCCCCCCCCCCCCAACCCAAATAACCCTACCCCTCCTGCTTAAGACCTCCTCGGCCAAGGCAGGCGATCCTCCTTTGCATATTAAAGACATGTTTCGCTCACTCTTTTGCCTCGTCAGGCTCCTGTGGCGTGGGCGTTTTAATCTTTCGCAGCTCTCTTTTGCGGGGCGCTTTTTTCGTCTGCGACCCAGACGGTCGCGTACTGGTTTATCAATTTTTTGTTGGTAACGCCAAATTCCGTGCGATAAGCGTTTACACTCTCAAAAAAAAAGGGTGTATCGTTACTCTCTTTGTCCCATATAATACACCCCAAAACTTCATTTCGACGTACAGCGCCCTACAATCGAACAGACGGCCCAAAATTTTACGAGGGGCTTGACAGCCGTGTGGTACAACCTATTAAAATAGCTAATGTACGCTTTACTAGCTACAAAAAAAAAATAATAATCGAGATTTTCCTGGCCCTACTGTAAAAACTCGTTGCTTTCTTTGTGTGGTCTTTGATACGTATTTTAGCAATTTAAAAAGTTATATCGCACCGTTATCAAGCCCCTCGTAAACTTTTGGGCCGTCTGTAGGACTATAGGGCGCTGTACGTCGAAATAAAGTTTTGGGGTGTATTATATGGAACAAAGGGTGTAACAATACACCCTTTTTTCTTGAGAATGTATGCGCCCACGCGTCCTTCGGCGTCTCACCCCTTTTTCAAGAGCGTTTTGCAGTATGTGCCTCCGGACGGGTTTTTCTTTTTTTGTGGCGAATTCAATTGCGTTCTTGATTCTAACCGCGATGTTCGCGGCCCTGGCCGTGGGCGTGGCATCTGGAACGCTCGTGAGTTGGCCCGGCTGCTCGGAATCTACAACCTCCGCGACGCTTGGCTCGAACTGTACGGCGCTTTGTACGTACCCACGTGGTCGCGCGGCTCCTAGTCCAGCCACCTCGATCGGGTGTATCTCCCTCCCAGTCTCGTGCCGCGCCTCCTTCGTTGCGCTGTTCTTTGTTTTCCCGCCGCTGCCGGATACGTTTCCGACCACCGCCCGGTGTCTGTCGTTTTGGACCTCTCGAGCTTTGCGCATCCTCGCGGTGACACCCAGCGCTTAGACACCACGCTGTTGCGAGACGAGCAGGCCCTTTCCAGCCTGCGCCAGTCGATTCGCATGTCGCTGTCGGTTGCTCCGCTGTCTCCCGCCCGCTGGGAGGTCATCAAGTCCGACTGCCGGTTTTACGCGACGACAGCGGGGAATTTGCTTCGACGCCGCGTTACTGAGGCCCTCAATGAAACGATCCGCCGCATCCGTATCGTGCAGCGTGGCGAGACGCGCACCTACTTGATGTCGGAGTGCTTGCCGCTTCTTCGCGACCGCTACCAGCGTCTGCTTCACTCGTCGTTTCGACCCACCGTCGCGCAGAAACTGCGGGGTCAGCCCGTGGACGACCCCGAAGCGCTTCAGTGCCTTCGCGCCTCTCGTACCGGGAGAGATGAACCCTCGTGCGTTCCGAATGTCCGCCTCGCAAGTGGTGGCCTTTCGGCCGACCCCCGCGACAGTGCAGTGTTCTACGAGTTCTTCTCGTCCCTTTTTCGTACGGACCCTGCGGTGTCCGCTTTGAACCTTGCCGAGCGAGTTCGCCTATTTTGTGGTGACCTCCCGGCTTGCCCCGACTTTGAGGGTCCTTCTCTTGTACGCCCCACCACACACGACAAACTTTTTGACCTTCTCCGTGTGATGAAGGTTGGGTCTGCCCCCGGGCCCGACGGTTTGCCTGCCAAATTTTACGTGGCCTTTTGGGACGTCCTCGCGGACCCTCTAGTCGACCTTGTCAACCAGTTCCTGGAGACTGGGGAGGTCCCTCCTTCCTTTCGACACGGTCGGGTCGTCCTCCTTCCCAAAGATGGTTCCCCGTCTGACCCCGCGGCATGGCGGCCTATCACACTCCTTAACGTTCACTACAAGCTTGTGGTGTCCATGTTTGTTTCACGTCTCGGACCGCTCAGCCCACGTGGTGAGCCCGGCTCAGACGAGTTCTGTGCCCGGGAAGAACATCTCCTCCCTGTCTCTTACCCGCGACCTATTTGCGCACTTCACCAACTTGTCAGGAGCCTTCGTCTCATTAGACCAGGCGAAGGCTTTCGACCGCGTCGAGCACCAGTTCTTGTTCGAGGACTTGGGCGCCTTCGGCCTACCTGAGAGGTTCGTCGCGCTCGGTACGGTCACTGTACAGTGGCTTGACGAGCCGTCTCCTTGTCAATGGATGGCCTTGCTCCATTTCCCGTCACTCGGGGAGTACGGCAGGGTTGCCCTTTATCCCCCTTGCACTACGTTTTGAGCCTCGATCCTCTCTTAAGACATTTGGCGTCATGCTCGGACATACGAGGCTTCCCGTTGCCCGGTCTAGACTGCGTTACCGTCAGTGCCTACGCTGACGACATCGGTTTGTTCATTCGGGACTTGGGGAGCCTTGAAGCTGCTATGCGACTTTTTTCTGAGTATGGCGTCCTGTCGGGCGCACAGTTAAACCGCTCAAGGTGCAAGGCACTTCTGCTCCGTGGTGCCTCCCCTCCAACCTTGCCGGTGGATATTCAGGTCGTCACCGAGCTCCGCATTCTTGGCTTATTCTTCGACTATCGTGGCGTGGCGTCCCGCACCTGGGAGGTTGCATTCAGTAGCCTCTAACGGCAGGTCTCTGCTGCCGAAGCTTTCACGTTGTCTCTTCGAGACCGTGCTTACCTTGTTAAGGCCGTTTTCTGCGGCCCTCTCTTTTTCACCGCTCACGTCACCATCCCTCCCCCCGGTTCATTCACCGCGTCACTTCTTGTCTCTTTCGCTTTTATTTGAACGGGGCTCCGAGCATGTCACCCGGGCGGTACTTCGCATCTCCACGTCCCTTGGCGGCAGAGGCATGCCGTGTGTCGACACCATGACCCGTTTGCTGGCCCTTCGTACCGTTTTGGGACTACTGGAGAACACGAAGCACCCTGCGCGTTCTCTTGCCCTCTGTTCCCTGGGACCTTCGCGCCGTGCGCTCGTTCCTCGCGCTTTGGGTAACCTCTACCCTAGCGCCGAGTCCACTCCGCCGTTCTACCAGGCGGTGGTGAGCCACAAGGAACTGCTGCACGCGTTCCCGAACCTTGTGGTGCGGGACGTAGCCCCTGCCCGTGTTGCTGAAGAACTTTGCGTTCAGCGCGTCACTCCCGAAGACCGCCGAAAGGCGACCGCCTTCCCCTGGTCTTCATTGGTCTCCCGCCGTCTGCCTAAATCTGTAGGCGATTTTGAGTGGCGTCGAGGGTGGGAAATCCTGCCCACGAAGCAACGTCTCTACCGCTGGGGCTTAGTCCCGGACCCCCGTTGCCCCAACTGCGGACAACTAGAGACTGTATCGCATATCTTCCAAGAATGTCCGGTAGCGCAAACATTTTGGCGCCTCGTTTTCGACACGTGGGTAATCGCCACTTTGCTCTCAGTGGCCGGTGCCCACGGGGTGGCCTGGCTTTGCTTCTCCTGGCCTTCGGACACTTCGTCCTCTGGAGGAATCGCTGTACCACGGTGGGCCAACAGCGGCGCACCCGTGCCATGTGGCCTCTCCTGTCCCAACTCCGTGGAGCCTTGCTCCGCCACCTAGCCTCTGAGCTTTTCTGTTTAGGCGAACGTGAGGTCCTGCGCAGGTGGTCCTGCCGCTACGTTACTTTAGTCCACGGCCGCATTTCCTTAGCATTTGCTCCCCTAGCCCAGGTGTGAGTGGAGTACGCGCCCTCGCGAGGACGGTTTTATTTTGACCGTATTTTTTCCATTGCCCGGTGTAATACCGGTGGTTTTGTGGAAAACCCCTGGCGTCGCGTCGCATTATTTTGAGACGGCCTAGTCCGCCCGTCTTTGCGCCTTGTTTTGCCCTGTCATTGTACCCTTCGTGACCTTGTGCGAAATGTTAATCAAATATTTCTTAAAAGCTGAAGGATCACCGTTTCCATAACTCCTCGAGTGCGGAGAATTGTAGACAATAAAAAGATATAAAGTGCTGATTTCAGGCTTGTATCCTTTTGAAATGCCTGACCAGATCTGGAATTTCCTTACTCAGCCAGCTCTGGGATTTCCATACCTAGCCAGGGGTATCTGGCATTATAAGGCTATATCTGGAAGATATCATATACCATATCAGGTTATATGTGGCCAATTTTTGATATGGCCATATCTCAAATCTTCAGATCTGGCCAGATATAAATTTTTTGTAAGGAAATACACCTTCAAATCGGGTTGTTTAGGTTTTCCCTGATTTTGATAAAAACCCACTAAGAGGATAATTTTCGAGTCTAATTTGTGTTTATAGAAAACAGAAACCCTAGTTTCAGCTAGGGCGTAAATGTCCCGGTTTTTATTTGTAAAAAAAATTGCCAAATGCGTTTTTTTTTTTTTTTTTTTGCTTTTTTTCATATATAGGGGCATTTTGTCATTTGTTTTCGCCCGACGCTAAAAAAATTATTATTGGTGCAAAAGTGTAATGAAAAACAGAGTTAAAAAACAGTCATAGCTGGAGCGAAATTTCTAGAAACCTGTGTTTATCGGTATTCATTGATGTTGTTTTCTTCAGATCAGTCAATTTTTAGCGGTGTTTCGCGGTTTTGACTGGCTTTGTATTTTACACCAGTTAAGGTTTAACGGTGATTTAATTTTTAATTGAGTCCTGAATTTCCCACATTAATAAATGTTTATCGCTATTCGTTCTTTTTATCCGGTTTTGCCTTTTTTTCTGATTCACGGTTGTTTTTGCGTGCTTTCCAGTTAAAACCGAAGAGTCTGCGGCCTACTTATAAATGCGACAAAAAAAAAGACTAAGAAGGGTCCTTTTTTTTTTAACGGATTGCCTTTTGGAACAAGTTTACCTCGGGCCTTCTCGCAAACATGAAGCCGGAACTTGTCACATGGCGCCTGGTTCCAACGACCCGGGTGCACTCGGCCGGTCAGAATCTCGACGCAGTGGAGGCCCTGTGCGAAACGCAGAAACTAAATCAGGAGTAGACAAGACAAACGATTATATTCTTACGTTTCTTTGTTTGTTTGTTTTTTCCCGATTCCGACAGAGGATCACAGTCCAGCACTTGTTAGTAATTCAATTAAACTACTGAAATGTGAATACCTGGTCAGCAATTTGTAGTTTTAATGCATTGGTTTAGGCCAAAAGCGATTTATACGAGAGGTAAATAATTCAGCGGGAAAAATCGCGAACGCTTTATCAAGTTTACTACAGTGGTGTTTGTTGGCGTATTTTTACCTCAGCAGCCCTCGCGGAATAAAACCTCAATCAACCAACCAAATATGTTTAAAATTGATTTTTAATTCTGGAGGCATTTTATTGAGCCAATAACAGCAAAAAGAAATGCGTAAGGGACATCGGCCTCCTTCGGCTTCCTTCCGTGGGGAAGTCTGGCGTTGGGTAGAGCTAAGACTGTCCCCGCCGTCGACAGTGCACGCATGTCTGAGTCATAGTTACTTTGGGTATTTTTGTTCATTAGTATTTATTGTATATTTGATTTTAATTCGTGTTCGCTACTTTAGGCTGACTGAGCAATTTATGCAACCAACTAGTACTGATATGGGCGCCGTTGGTACGACGGTCTAGACTGATAAACAGCATGATGTCGAGCCATCTTTTTTTCTCGCTGTGTATCTGGTTTGGTAAAATAATAAAATATCTAAATTCGGCAAAGCGCGTATTTCTCGATTCAATAATGACCCCTTGTTTGGTATAGGTAACGTGCAATGCTGTTTGGTTTGGTGCTATCTGGCGACTGAAGCGAGAAATATTGGGTATCCCTGGGAGTGGCGGCTGTATTGTTCAACTGTGAGCTATTACTCCGGTGGCGCCGCTTAGCCTAGTGTCTGAAGCAAGAAATACTGGGTATCCCAGGAAGCTGTGATCGCGTAACATGTTAGTACAGCGGAAGCTACGGCCCTCACGGGCCAATGGGGGCGTGACTGCGTATCCCCGGAGAGCGCCTCTACTCCGAACAAGTATCAAGCTTTTCGCTGCGTCATACGTTGCGCATTTCGAAGCCGTCGGCACGAAATTGGGGTTTATCATTCTCCCTTTGCCAAGTTACAGCGAGACAGGGTAGACCGTGGGCTCTCACTCTGCCGGCGCCGCCTGGCTCTTGCCGGCTGGCTATATCAAAATGTCTCTAACTATTGCGAGGTAAAAAGCGAGGGCCTCTTATTAACTTACTTCATACAATTATAAATTTAGGCAAATAACAAATGACATACCAAGCAGCAAAGCAACAGCGCATGCTCAGAAGGCGTTCCATAGCCCAGCAGACAAAGATGGCAGCGCGCAGAAGATGATTTTTACGGAGGTCTATAGACCGACTCTAAACCCGGGGACTGCCAATGTTACGGATATATGCTGCGTTTCACGGGCATGAGAGCTTGTCAGGATCACAGACATTGAAACTCACTCTAAGTCCACGTGCCTCATTACAAACAAGCCCGCCGTCTCCGGCCGCACCAGGGGCGGGCACTGCGCGTGCGCAAAAACCAGATTTGCTGGATGCAAATTGTCTACGCTTGCACTCTGTGGACAGTAGAATTGGGTACAGACCTCCATTACTGAAATGTCACGTTCTTTGTTTCAGAGATTAAAAAAAGAATAGTAATAATAAGGCCTCGCTCACTTCGATCTGTTCGTGGGAGAAAATACAGATTCATATTCACGAATCTTAAGTTTTAACGCGTCTCCCGAAAGGGAACAGGGGAATATTAACTTGTAAAAAAAGTAGTTTGCGAAAACCGATTTGTGTATTGGGCATTATTTAAACTCCAAATGATTTACCTGGAAAACAACCGACCACTTCAATAAGTAAAATGAATAAATGGGCAGCAAATGTTTCGCTAAGGTACATATTTATAAATTCTGGTCTAGTCTCTGGCGTATACTACGGTTGCTCCCATATGAGGCTTTTGTGGAATGAAGATCAAACAAATTAAAGTAACAATAATATAGTTAAAAAAATAAAACATATATATATATATATATATATATATATATATATATATATATATATATATATATATATATATATATATATATATATATATATATATATATTGTTTCACGTAAGAGTGACCAAAATTCCTAAAATTATTGTATTCAAGGTAAGAGGATAACGTTCTTGGTACCGCAATACTCGCGGTGGACTACGTCAGCGAAAACGCGATCGATGGTTACTAATTAGTCCGCTAAGGAACTTAAAATGACTAATAACTCTTTAATTGGTGAAATAAAGATATGGTTCAAATTAGAAACTTGCTGAGCGTCATCGAAAAGAAAACACATAAATCAGTCATTTTCAGAAAGACTTCGAGCGCGTGAGAAGCGTAATAGTGCGCCAAAGTTCCCACTCGTGGAGCAGGTATACAATGCTGGGGCTCTCATAAGACACGGAAAAATCGCGCGGGAGCCTTGTACCTGCTCCACGAGTGGTAACTTCAGTGCACTACGCTTCTCACGTGCTCAAAGTTTTTTTTATTTTTTTTTATTACTGATTTAGTGGTCTTCGATGACGCTCATCAAGTCTCTTATTGGAACCATAGGTCAATTTTCAATATTTAAAAGTTAATTAACCATATTAGTTAATTAGCGAACTAATTAGTAAGTATCGCGCATTTTCTGGCGTCCGCCACGACGAGTAATGCGGTCCAGAGAAAATTATCCTTTTATTACCTCCAATGGACTAATCTGAGGAATATTTGCCGCTCTTACGCGAAACACGATATATATATATATACATATATATATATGAGGGTTCAAGTCACCAGGCTCGATCTAAAATGGACCGAAAAAATCGACGCCTGCATGTAGAAATTTAAACCCTTCGTCCAAGGTGTATTTCACAGGTCGGGTTCTCGTAAAATTACAAAGCGTAGTTCACTTTTAGTATAAAATAGGGCCAAGAAACTTGCCAGGGTCTTCGGCGGGCGGTGACCCAGACGACCAAGATCAGTAGCGGGCTGTGTTTATTTATATATATATATATATATATATATATATATATACATATATAATGGGAATGAGCGAAGATTTACAAGTACAGCCGCAGTAATAATGCAAACGAAGAGGGGATAAAGTGATTATTGAGCTTATTGCATTAAAGTGAGGAAAAGGGAAAAGGAAAGAGAGCTGGTGAAAAATTGGGCAAGGAGTTCCTGGTCTCGAGCCAGTGCTCCTGGCATGCACGGTCGTTCTCTTCCGAAAAACTTGAAACCGGCGATTTCCTAAAAAGGTGGACCATAACCTTATAGAGAAATTATAAGCATTTATTTCGAAACGACAAGGTCAAATTAGAGGTTATTGACTTTTGGATCGCTGTATTTGTTTCTTTCTCCTGGCCGCCCCACCTGCATTGAATGCGGAGGCTACTCCCTAATGAACACACATACTGGTCCTGTCGCAGGCCCTCAACCTTCCTTCCTCCTTCCCTTCCGAGCCCCCTATTCCTGGGCTAGCTGAACCGCTCCCCCAAAGGATCTCCAAGCCATCCTCTGACCACTTCTCGCCACCCACATTGAAAATCAAACTCCATCCTCGGGCTCCAAGCCCACCGACTCCAGGCAGGACGAAGACAGTGCGTCCTCCTGTTGTGATGAAGATTATACACGACTCGTGCTAGAGTGATGTAATAGAGTTTATTCTCTCCCTCTCTTTCTCTCTCTCTCTCTCTCTGTCATGGACAACTTTCTGTGGCATTTTCCACGAGGAGAAGAGTGATATGCAAACCCATAGCCTTTTCTATACTCATAAAGCCTGGCAGTTCGATGAGGGAGCCATAGAGTGCCCGGTCGATGATTGGGAGCGCGAGGATCTGGTAGCACAGAGCATTTCTCGGAAAGTCTGGTATTCAGCGCACAGTTTTTGCAGCGGCGAGGACCTGAAACCTGGTGTTCATACCCGACGAGAAAAGAAGCGATAGCCCGAGACACGCGAGAAGCGCGAGCGGACATTCTGCCACTCGGGACAAGTGTGTTTCGGCGTCTCGCCGCAGCGGGGTGGCCGTTACATGCCTGTTGTCTGCCGCTCTGCCTTTTCACTTTTTGCGGCCGCGTCTCGTGGCGATCTGCCAGGCTTTGTCAGTATAGAGGAGGCTATGGCGAACCTTTAATCGGTGCCTATGCACGCGCCGTCATACATTTGACTCCATAGCAACAAAAAAAAGATGTGCATGGAAACACGGGTATATGACGCTTTGCACGCGCGCCAGATTACAGCCGCCATTACTGACCTTCTCTTGTCTTACCGAGATACCAAGCCACTGAAGCGGGCTTTGACGAGCCTCCAGAAAGGCCGATTCTGGGGAGAAGGACACAGTTCGATCTAAAATGACAATAACCAGTCCTGCTGAGGTAATGATGGAGGGAAGTGATGCGAATAAATGGAAACAAAAAATGCAAGGTCGGTTATGGTGGCGCCCATGCACAGCTGCTGCAAAGCGTCTTTATCATAGCTGCCGTGCAAACGCGTTCATGCACCCTCGCACCTGCTGTTTCCGCTTCGCACGCACTACATTCGGAAGCGTTCCTTAGAGTAGCGTGGTCGTGCTTGGTGCTTCGTTGTGAAAATCCTTTAACTCGAACCGTGAATTAAAAAATGAAAGACGCTTACAACGCCCTGTAACGCCGAATTAGAGCGCAGCTCTTGAGGAGGAGGGGAAAGGTACTGAGTGGAGGGTACACCCCTCCTCCCTCCTCCTCACCTCCTCACCTCATCCTCCCCGCTTTTCCTCCTCCCTTCCTCCCTCCTCTTCCTCCTCCTCCTTCTCCTCCTCCTCCTCCCTCTCTCTCCTCTCCTCCTTCTCATCCCTCCTCCCCTCTTCTATCTTCCCCCTCCTCCTCCCTCGCCCTCTTTCCTCTTCCCTCCCCCTCCTCCTTCATCCACCTCCCCTCCCCCTCCTTCTCCTCCTCCTCTTTCCCCTCCCCCTCCTCCCCGCGCGTTGCATTATGGGAAATGCCCCATAATGCACCGCGCGGGAACCTCCTGACGTCACGAGGGTCCCGCGCGGTGCATAATGGGCATTTCCCATAATGCAACGCGCGGGGAGGAGGGGGAGGAGAGAGAAGGAGGAGGGAGGTGGAAAAGGAGAAGGGAAGAAGGGAGGAGGAGGAGAGGAGAGGGAGGATGAGGAGGGAAGGGGCTTAAAGGATAAGAGGAAGACGTCACGAGTGACGTCACAAGGGTCCCGCGCGGTGCATTATGAAACATTTCCCATAATGCACCGCGCGGTTACGCCGACGCCGCTCAAGCTGGAAACGGGCGCTTAAAAGCTGTTCTCTAAATATATATATATAGGTATATATATATATATATTCCATTCTTGAGAAATGCAGAGAAACATGGACACGAACTTACAATCCCGAGCTTAGGCTGGCCCCAGAACCAATTCTCGTAGGCAATAGGGGAGCCGTCCAGCCACTTCGTGGGCCCCGTGATGGTCTTCATGCCGATCCAGACATTCGTGCTGGCGTCGCCCAGGTGACTCAGCAGAAACTCTGCATCAAGTTCATCAAAACAGGCATCATGTAGCGACCTTCCAGTTTCAAAGACATTCTTGGGCGCCCCCCCCCCCCCCCTCCCCCTCCTTACAAAGGTGTAAGGAAAAAACGTACTAAACAGAACGAAATTGACCCGCGGAGCGAGTGGCCTTTCTAGGGCAACTGCTTATGTCCTACTTGAGGAGCACATACAGTTACTCTAGCCTAGAGTAACCAGGTGGCTTCGTGAGTTACTGTAGGCATCGCAAGAGCAGCCGTAAATCTGTAGGCAACGAGCTCCACTACTCTATTTTGTTTCGTTGAGCACTGTACGTTGCCCTTGACCTTTGTACTTTGACCCTCGACTTTTTCCTTTAAATCTGGGCAGGAAAAGTTACCTGAAATAAATTTTACGTCATACTGGACCTGCGAGTAAAACCAGCTGAATATTTTTTTTTTTTATATATATATATAACACAGCACAGATATATGTCTTTTAACGTATACGAGGGGTGTTCAATACGGTTTGTCTCCTCAGCTATAACAATTTTACACAGTGATGGAATTGAAAGATAAATGAAAGTGTGGAATCTCCCCTTTCCCATGAGCACATCACTTTTCGATGGAGTCCCCCGAGCAGCGGCGATGCACTTACGCCACAGGTGCAGAGGCCACCTGTGGCACTTGCACCACGGGTGGTCTCTGCATGCCGTCGTGGAGGAATGAGGGCTGCCGTTGATGAGACCAACGCCAGCCGCCTTCATTCTTCAATGGCAGCATGCGGATACAAAATCACCTGTGGTGAAGGTGCATCGCCGCTGGTCGAGGGACTCCATCAAAAAGTCGTGCGCAGCTGGGAAAGAGGAGAATCCAAACTTTCATTTGATTGTAAAATATATCCATTCCATCCCTTAAAGTAAACATGTTTGACAGAAGTTTGTCTGGTCGGGATGAAGCGATAGTGTATATTTTTACTTCCTCATCGTTCCATACCTTAGTAAAGAAAGTGACCGCCCAGGAGGCAGAACTTAGTGAACATCCCTCGCACATAATTCTCACCAGCACAATCGCAATACAAACGGGACTCCAGTTCCTCGTACGTTAAAGGGATACTACAACGAAATTTCGGCGCTCATTTTTGGTCTATACGTGTTCAAAGGAGCACCATCACCATCACAAAAAAATCACAAAAAGGAATTTTAAAACGAATTAAGCGATTAGCAAAGAGCACCTGGTGGATGTCGCTAACGCCTCGCTTGTAATGCCGTTATAGGAACCTTGACAGCTAGTGACAGAGGTTGTCTCGCCTCCGGCCACGACGAGAGAAGAGGGGCAGGAGGAACTCCCCTCTTCCCGAGAATGCCTTTTGTGTGTCGCAGAAGTCGCTATTGTCCCGCTACAAGATTTCAGAAAATTAACCCGTCACTCAAAATTCGTAAAAAAGCAGCCGCTTCGGTGGCTGGAACAACTAGGCCATCCTCTCGACGACAGCCTTGCCGTAGCTTTGCTCGTCCTGAGGCGACCTACACTCTAATAAAAAAATGGAGGAAAAAAGTAGCAACGGCGCGCCTTCCTCTCTTCTACTGACGCGCCCCCAAGCGGGCACGAGAAAAGGGGAGGAACGAAACGTTTTTCTCCTTCTCCAGGCAGACGGGAGAAAGCTTTCGCCCTCCCGACTCATCTTCTTTCGGTTTCGTTTTACGAGCATGTCGCGCACGTTGTTTAATAAATAGCTGTTGAGTTGATTGAGCTTCAGCGGCAGCGAAGGCCGCCTGTAATTCCGTCTTCTAGTCTAAACGTGCAGAACATTTCGGTTGCATTGACGTTTTTATCACTAATTTTATCAAACGAGCAAACGAAGCCGCTAGAAACAGCGAAGTTCCGGAGCAGTGTCAGCAGCGCCACGTACACTGGGGGATGGCCGTCTCCGGATTGCGGGACTCGCGCGGCACGGAACTACAGTTGCTACAGTAGCAAAACTACGCGGAACTGTGTCGACGTTTCCGACGTTATGGAAACCGCAGGAACTGCGTCCAAGACAGGCAGGTTTTTCTGCCGGCTGCCTGGGTGCCTTCTGTGCTGAGTTCGGTTCTACTTCCGATGCCGAGTGCCACCGGCGTTCAACGTGGTTCTGTATTTGTGCGTGTCAGCAACATAGCTGCAACATCGTGATGGCAGTGTTGTGGGTTGTGAACAGACGACTGGAATTATCGCCGATGTGACCGTGTCTTCGCGTATCAGCGGTGTAACAAGAAGATGAGATCGTAAACTGTCGGGGGCATTGATGCCGCTGGTCGGGCAGTGATCGGAGGGGGCGGGGTGTCGCAGGTTGACATTCCGCTTTACATTAAAAAGTTTAATACCACTTTAGGGATTACGTGCAATCGATCAATGTGCGGATAGTCATGTTGGAACGCTGGTCTGAACAGTATAAGCTCCTATCGTAAAGTGGACAATGTGACTGTCGGAATTGTCTCGTCCCCGAGGGCGATTGCGCTCTGGGGCAAGGACAACAGTACGAAATCGTAACGGAAAGTACGTATATTTACAGTGTGGAATTTTAGCATTAAAAAACAATAGTAGGTAAAATTGAAAAAAAAAAAAAGTTACCCTTTATTTTGCTGTTTAAATATACTACGGTTCCTGGAGAAATTGCCCTCCAAGTGGCGCGCTAGGGTGCGCTCTAGAAGTTTTCGGGCTCGCCACGGCGTAGCTCTGTAAACTTAACACCTGCCGCAAGTCGCGGCTTTGACTGCATTCAAGTTGATCGAAAAGCGATTTCTCAGCCCGCGAAGCATCACTTCCAGCTGAGTGAATATCCGCTCTACAGAGATTAATTCAAGACGGCAATTGCAGCTTTGCGAGAACAGCACAAATAGAAAAACAAACAATACAATAGAAATATAGGCTACGACGTGCCGTGCGGGGAAACAAAACCATGGCTACGAACCACATTGGAGCGGCTTGATTTATTGGCTTTCAAATAATTACGGCATGATCGAGTGTTTGCTTTTTAATAAGAGATTTATCCCCTGAACCATTCAAAATAATCTTACAGGTATGACATTGCTCGAAAAAATCAACATGCTGGGAATATTTTTTATTGCTTATTCAGTCACCGAGAAATTCCGTCCGTTCAAAACGACCAGTATAAAAGACGGAAACGCAGAGCACGGGTGTAGTGTTCGGGTTAGTTAGTGTTCGGGTGAGGGATTCGTCGCCTGGCTTCCGAGCTATCAAGACGTATCGCGATGAGCTCCGTCGGAGCGGTAACGGCCGCTGATAGCCGTGAAATTTCTGCGGAGTTAGGCTCCCAAGGATACAGGATCGTACTGCCTCCCCTGTCGAAGGGCGTTCAAGCCCTGAATTCTATCTTTCTGCACGCCGACATTACGGCGCGGCCTTATCGCATTGAAGATTTTAAAGCCGGACTCCAGAAAGCGGGAGTACTAGGCGAAATCGTCGCATGTGGTTCATTTCAGATGAACCACGTGTGGATGGTGACTCTGAAAACACCGTTGGCCAAGAAGAAGCTGGTGGACGCCGCGTCCTTCAAGGCTAAAGGGAGACGCTGCATCGTCGTCGACCCGGAGAAGGCCGAGGTGAGGTTGAAGCTTCGTTGGATTTCTTTTCACCTTCCGGACGAAACCGTGAAGAAGGCCCCGGAGCCGTATGGCAAGGTCGAAGACGTCGCCCGAGAAACCTGGCGTGTCGGAGGCTTCGAAGGTGTGCAGTCGACCACCCGAGTCGTGAGGCTGACCCTAAGGGAAGGCGTCACGCTCGAAAACCTGCCGCACCAACTACGACTCCCAGGCTGCACGGCCTTGGTGCTGGCCCCGGGTAGAGCTCCGCTCTGCCTCAGGTGCCGTCGAACCGGCCACATTCGTAGGGAGTGCCGAGGGCCGCGCTGCGAGAGCTACAGACGTTTCGGACACCTACGCGAGGACTGCAAGAAAACCTACGCAGACGTGGCTAACGGCGGCCCTGAGGACGACGCCTCGGAGCTACTCATGGACCAGGATGAAGCTGAGGACGCGGCAGGCGGAAACTCGGAGGGCAGCCAACTTCAGAGGCGGGCCGAGACCACCGTGGTCGTCCCACCCCCCGAGACGTCCACCACGGCCGAGCTCCCCGCAGAAAACACGGACACCCCGAAACCGGTGGGCGACGACGTCGCACGCGTTTCGGCCCTCCAGGGGGACGAGCGCGGGCACGACTACACCCGCCGGGAGTCGACCCTGGCTGCCGTTGAAAGGGAGAACGACCAGAAGGACGGCGAGATGGGCGCCGTGAGCGGCTATGCATGCCAAGCGTTCCCTGGAACCGACACCAACCCAGGAGCCCGGTCAACCGCAGAGCCTGCAGGAGAGGGTGCTCCAGAGGTGGCAGACGGTGACTTCGAAGAGGGGCCGACGCCATGCCCCCCCTCAAGGACCACCGGAGGGCCACGTGCCGAAGGCTCCATAGTGAAGGAACTGTACTGCGGCTGAATAATATTGCTTAGGCGGCCTAGTACAAGTAAGAGTGTTGTATTTTTTGTATGTGTTTACCTGTTTGACTTAAGCGGCTTTTTGTATCGTAGCCTAGCCTTCTCTCTACTTTAACTCCGTGATAGTAATATGTCTCTTAGTTTCGCCACTTTAAACGTCCGTGGGTTGGCCTCGTCGAGGAAGCAGTACCAACTGCAGCGTCTGGTAGAGGACGAGCAGCCGGACTTTCTTGCGGTGCAAGAAACTAAATTGCAGACAGAAGAGAACATTGAGAGAGCGCCGAGGCCTTATCTCCGGCGATATGAAGTTGCCGCTACTCATGCTGCGGGTCGGTCGGGGGGCTGTTTTCTTTTTTTAAGAAAGTCCGTGAACTATGAAAACTTGCAAGTTGGTGTCGATGAGTGCGGGCGGTTCATTTCTTGTGATTTCACGCTGTCAGATGTCCAGTGGCGAGAGATATGTATCTACGCTCCCAATAACGCGAAGGAGAGAGAAGTCTTTTTTCAATTTCTATGTAATTATCTGGAG